AACGAGAAGCACTGACTGAAGTTTCTTTAGGCCATTCCCAACGGGATTTGGGGGGGGGGGGGGGGGGGCATTAACATGTTCTTATGCACTGTAGGATTGTAAATGGGCTGATTCATCAATGCCATGCTAATAATTGTGCCTGAACTGCAACAGGGAACTGCTGCTTTTCTATCCCAATCTTTACTATCCTCAATTTTCCTCTACTTCTTTTGTATGTTTGTCACACTCTTGTGACCCGGTATTTCCGGGGTGCCTTGATAGTGGAAGCAGACATTGTGCTGTTGAAAATAGAGAGGTGAGCAGAGTAAGCCTGATTCCCTGTAAGGACTTCTCTGTCGACACTCACCCCTTGGCGCTCATATGACCTTTTGCAGTTACGAGCGCCGTAAAACATCCACTAAAACTAAACTAATAACAACTCACAAACATGGAGGTTCGGTTCTTTTGTGTGTGCTATATTTGCTTGTTTTTGGAGACACACCAATGCCCCGCCTCTCGAAGAAGCTTAAATCTACACTAACTTACAGAGTTGAAAGGGGCGTTGAGTCTATACCTGAGTTAATACAATGACAGCGACGCCCCTGCAAGACTTTATTTGCTGCTGTGAGGAGTAAAAGTATGTGTCACGACGCGGTTGAATCGGGCGCTCCTCTAAAATGTTGGGTGTATTATAGACTTATTGGTATCACCTCTGGTTCATATGTATTACTTTTGATGACCCCCCCCCCTAGCAACAATAACAACAACAACAAAAACAACAAAACAAAACAAAATAAATAAACAAAACAAAAACAAAAACCACCCTCCCCAGCAACAACAACAACAACAACAGCAAAACGTAACAAATTTTCCTTAAATAGATGTCAATTTATTTTACTTTGAAGGAAGTGGGGGTCACCTGGTGTCAGAGGAAAAATTAGAGAGAATATGACCGTCAAAATTTGGTGACTTCTAAAACTTGAGTGTCCTTGGAAATTGCACATATACACAATTTAGTGACTTTAATCAACATTTCCCCAGTAAAATCCACACAAAAACTAAATACATTCTAAATGGACGTAAATGTAATGAGCAAAAAATAAATTCGATAAAAATTGCCCCACGAGCGGCAAAAAATGTCGATTTCTTCGATTTCACTATTTTGATGAATTTCGACCATCACAATGCCATTCCTTTGCTGCTGGGAGTTGTAAAAATATGATAGCTCACCGTCGCATGCAGCATTTTCTAAAATACCTGGAATCCGAGTTTATTGACTGCCAAGCGTAATATTCTCTAACAGCTTCCAGATTCTGTAACTGGTTGTGAAATGTTATTTCTTCTTGTAGTTGACTAAGTCATAATGTAGGCCTACTGGAGCCTGGTGTTTACCTGGTGTTCGGGTGTGGTAGAGAGCCAATGATCTTACAATATTGCAGATAACCCCCCCCCCCCCACCCACCCATAACCCAAATTTCAGATCAAACAAACTTGACAAAATGTTTTCCCTGAGCTCTCAGGTGGACACTTGAAAGTTATTCTAGTTAGCGTAGTTTATTGGCCCCACAGAATAAGAAGACAGACAGAAAAAGCAAATTGGCAAATGTATCTTACTACTTCATAATTCTTTGTCCTTCTCATTTTAGGACCAATGAGTCTATCTGTATGTCTGTCTGTCTGCCTGCCTGCCTGCCTGCCTGCCTGCCTGCCTAGGCTGTCTATCTATCTATCTATCTATCTATCTGTCTGTCTGTCTGTCTGTCTGTCTGTCTGTCTGTCTGTCTGTCTGTCTGTCTGTCTGTCTGTCTACATTTTGTATCTATCTATGTCACTTTCTTCATTTTTTCTCCTGTCTGATTTCTGTTTAGTATCATTTTAGCTTAACACAAAGGCCTAGTTTGACGAGTGCTGCTGGCGGAGAATTCATATAAATTATAATTCAATAAATAAATAAATTCATAGTAAGGGTTCAAATAAGACAACTCCTTTATATAAATTTAAAGCCACATAAGTACGCCTTTGAGATGAGGAATACAAAAAACAAACCATTAATATTATTACAATCTGAAATACTCCAGTCTAACCCCTCAAACCACCCACGCTCCCTCTTTGACGTCATTAGCCTTTGTACACTTTTAAAAAGTCCATTCTAGATAATAGTATTCTTCAATAAGAAATTCTATTGTCTCTTGAACTTGAAAGTATAATCCAAGCTTTTCTTTTTTCATTGTTTTCCTCTCGTGTCCCGACGCCTCTTTTCCTCAAGTACATAATCAGAAGGAAAGGGAAGGATCTGCCGTCATTCTAAAAGTACAGTAATTGCAGTTTTTACAATTTTGCGGGAGAGGGAGAAAAGCAACTATATGTTGTTATCAAGAAAACGAATTCTCTGCAAACTGCTAACATGCAAAGTCAACATTTTAAAGAAAACAATTTTGATAATAGCTTCCCTAGACAACAATCAATTTTCTATGGTTTTAAAAATTTGTGGCTCTCCTGTGAAATTTAAAAACCTGCATATACTGTTCGGTACTTTTAAAAATGAGGGCAGAGGTGTGGGGGAATGAACGCTAGAGAAAGAACAACACAGCGGGTGATCGTCTGCACCTGACAACCGAGTTGTTAGGCGGAGTCCTTTCTGCTGAACACCAAAATCAGTATTATTGTGCAGTGCCTCGTGATATTGTCGGCAGTGCCCCGAGACCTGGATTCCGTTTCTGAACTTCGTACGAGCTTCCTTCATCGGTTTGCAGGTAAGTTAGAACAGAGGAGGGAAAACAGCCGAGAGGTCAGTTTTCTTCTTCTTCTTCTTCTTCTTCTTCTTCTTCTTCTTCTTCTTCTTCTTCTTCTTCTTCTTCTTCTTCTTCTTCTTCTTCTTCTTCTTC